GACAAACAAAATATCATCAAATTTCACTAACAAGATTTCTTCTATCGAAATTGATGATTCAACTATTGCACTTTTTGTTCAAGATGAGGTGACAAAAATAATAATGTCAGATGTTACTGATCGAATTTCTTCTGTCGAATTTGATGATTCAACTATTATGCCTATCAATCAAGATGAGATGACAGAGAAAATATCATCAAATATCATTGAGAAAATTGATGATTCAACTGTTGCACTTATTGGCCAAGATGATGTGACAGAGATAATAATGTCAAATGTTGCTGATCAAATTTCTTCTGCCGGAACTAATGATTCTACTATCATGGCTATTGATTAGGATGAGACGTCATAGAAAATATAGTCAAATATCACTGATAAGATTTATTATGTCGAAACCAATGATTTAATTATCATGTTCATTAATCAAGATGACATGATATAGAAAATATTGTTAGATATCAGTGATAAGATTTCTTCTACTGAAATAAGTGATTCAACTATTGCACCTATCGATTAGGATGAAATTGTAGGGAAAATATCCTTAGATATCATAAAAAAAGATTTCTTATATAGAAACTGGTGATTTAATTATTGTACATGTTATTCAAGATGAGGTGACAGAGATAATAATATCAGATATCATTGATCATATTTATTCTACTAAACCTTGTGACTTAACTATCATGCATATTGATTAGGATTGTATGATAAAAAATATCATCAGATGTCATTGACAAAATTTTTTATGTCAAAATCGGTGATTCAACTATTTCACCTATTGTTCAAGATGAGGTGACAGAGATAATAATGTCATATGTCACTAACCAAATTTCTTCTGCTGAAACTGGTGATACGACTATCGTGCTTATTGAGAAGGATGAGATGATAGAAAATATTGTTTGATGTCACTGACAAAATCTTTTCTGCCGACTGATGATTAGAATGACATGACAAAGAAAAGATTTTTAAATTCATAAAAAGTAATATATGTGCCCATTATAATTGAAAAGGAAGAGGATTGAACTTCTAATGCTTAAAAAAAATTAAAAGAATATTGGTGGCGAGCATTAAGAGTCATTGTTTTGATTTATAGTATTAATAATGTTTTTATGTGTTCGTGCTTCCATCTTTAACTTTAATGTTTTAATAATTAAATGAATCCATAATATCATAAGAAGTCTACTATTTTTCACCATTAGATTGACTAATTTAATATATAATTTTATGTTATATGCGAATGAATTATGCTTAAAAGAAGAGCAAATTAAATTGCAAATAATAATTAAAGAAATTTGGCTTATGATAAGGGTTCTTAGTGGCTTGAGGTGAATTGGTACTAGGTAGCACTTAACGACTTTAGAAATGCTTTGGAGTTTAAATAACTAAACTTCAAGAAATTGAGGATGTCTGATAAGTAACATTAATTTTTACGTTAAAAAATTAGAGTTCGATTATTTTAAAACAAGGTATGCAGAATTTTTCATAAATTTCTTAATTTCAAGCAGATTGTATGGCGTTGATCAAATAAGAAAACTCCTATTCTCAATGTATAAAAATAAGTTCAATAATACTTTGATCTTTAAATTCAAGAACAAATTTATGATTAAATATCGATAATTAAGTTCTTAATTCATTATTATTAGTTACCTTAAAAGTTTAAATTAATAAAAAAATTGTTTATATATAAACTTACTAGATGAAAAATGTGAATCTAACTCATGTGTATATGGGACAATTATGACTAGGGAACCATACACTGAAATACAATATCATGTTAAATGATCAATTAAAATAATAATTACAAAAATTTAACTATAATTTATTAACTATAATCTATATGTTGCTAATCTCCCTTTTCTTTTCACACAATTACCTTAATGTTGTTAATTAAAAAATATGGATTTAAAAAACTGATCCAATATATTAAATACTTGTAATTAGATATGTTAATTAATAAGAAACAAAAACTCAAATCCCAAAATTTAAAGCGAACTAATTGAACATTTTTGAAACGCCAAAACCATCTCGCCACCCACAAAATATAAAACCATTATTCACCCCTTACCAAAAGTTAAAAGAACAAGAACAATAGTATACATACATATACAAATAATTATAACAATGACCAAACATCTCTTCCTACTATTAGCTCTCTCCTCTATTTTGATCTCGATTGCGAATGCCACCATAAGCCCAGCAGAAGCTCCCGATGATGACTTCGACGAATGCCCGTATGCATCATCACCCAGGTACTATGATTTCTTGGAAGATTGCATACATAAAATGCCTGAATTTTGTGGCCAAGAGGTGTATGGATACATAGTAGATGATAAACGTATAACCTTGGATTGTGTCAAGCTCTGTAACATCACTGGGGTATAAATGTCATATTAGAATGTTTAAGATAATTTTAGGATTTCGTGAATTGAAGGGGAAAGAAGTTGAACTTAGGGTTAAAACTGAGCAAGTTTGGGATCTTTGTGTTTCGGCTGTCACACCAGAATCACCAGAAATATCACCAATTTAAATTTTTTAATTAAATTTATATAAAAATTTATGATTATATAATAATCTCAAATTGAGAAATTATATTATATAACAGCTAGTGCAGTGTTATATATTTTCTAACACATTGTGCAATAGAGATTTGATATTGATGATCAAGTTTAGTGAAATTTTGAAATAGTAAGTTGTAATTTCATATTTATTAATTTCAAAAAATATAGTTAGAAAAATAGAGCATATATCACATCCCCATCGTGTAATTACTAGTAGCTAAGCATGCATGTGGCTGCACTGAGAGATCTGATATATGGGTAAATATGTATGTATACGTAGAGCCCATTCGTATTGGCTCGTAAGAAAGGAAAAATTAAAACATTGCAGGGTGATGGATTAAATCAGCACCATACATGTCTCATTCTGCTCCAGACATGCCATGTTAGAATTAAGGAAGCTTCTTTTAGGTGATAACTGGCTATCAGCTGTACAACTTCCAACATTTATGAATTGAATTAATTCGTTGTAAGAAAATATAAATTATTCAATTTATTCTCTCTACTAATCTTTCATTTCAATTCTTGTAAATAATCATTATTCTTTAATTATATTAATATATTCACTAATAATATGATACACATACGACATATAATAATATAATATAAATAAATAATTTGAATTTATGATTTTTATAGAAAATAATAATAATAATACACTAAAAATTTTAACTAAATTGTAAAATGCCAAAAATATTGTTTCATTCATTAATCATTCAATATGTTGTATTGGCAGCACTACTGACGTAACTAACCGTTACCACATGGGACCCTCATGTTTAATTTCTATCTTTTCTCTCTTAATTTTGGATATTATTTTTGTAAACTTTTTTAAATTTAAAATGAAAGTATCTAGAGATCTATTAAATCCTAATTTGTAAATTTTATAAAAATAATTAAAATTAGTTCCTGAAGAGAAAAGAAAAATCTGATTTAATAAATTATTATACATATTAATTTTTACAAAATTATAATTATTATCTTTTAATGTATGACCTCCAATTAGACGATTTTGGTATAACGTAATATATTTTAGGGGCAAAATATATAGAAAGAGACAAATTTGAAAAAATATATATATAGAAGAACAAATATAAATATATTTCAATATTATATAATAATAATTGGGAAAACAAAATTAATATTTATAATTAATCTACGCCTAAAAAATAATTAAAAAACAAAGAAACAATACACATATTAGTGCATTTGGAACAAATAGTCAAAACTTACCTCAACTAATTTTTATAGTGACCCATATATATATATATATATATATATCTGTATTATCTACACTCCGCTCAAATTAGAGACCCAATAGAATGTAATATAATATAGTGATTGGCAGCGAAACTATCATTCCAAATATCACCCTGCAAAACAATTACATATAATTAATTTCACTACGTGTATATATATATACAGAAACTGTATTTAATATATATATATATATGTATATATACATACGCAGTGCTTAAAACATGAGGATGAAGATTATATTCCCTGGCAAAAACGAAGGGAACAATGGCTTGTGGGAGGGCAGCTTGTACAATGGAGAGTTTAAGTACGGTGCCTCTAAGCCCTACTGCAACTGAAGCTATTCCCATCACTCCAGGTCCAACCATAAACCTAGCTACCATCCAATACACTGTAACTCTTTTTCCACAAGCTATCAATCTGGGTTGCAATGCCATGAACAGCCCTTCAAATTTCATTCATCAAATTAATATACTTTCAATAATTTCCCATTTCGTATATACATACATATTCATCAACTTCATCTTACCAAGACTAAACATAGCCATACCCAGACCGGCTTTCGACAAAATTGTCACCGAATTGTCCATTATTTCGGGTTTCTTTATATCCCATCTGCTGACCCAGATTAAATTTAATTAACACTAGTTTGACCAATATTCTCAAATTGAATATATGTATATATGTATATGTACCTGCAAGAAATTAAGGCCCAAGTTATGCCGAGTACGCTGGCGTAAGAGTTGGGATTCCTTAAAAGTTTAAACCATACTGTTTTGAGAATCTGCCAGACCAGCTCCCAGGAGAATATTAATGGAGAAGAAATATCTTTTTTGTTATTCTGATCATCGGGAACTGCTTCTGTTTTCTCATATGTCATCATTGTCTCTACGTTGCTTTCTTCTTTTTCGAAAACTTGCACTGCCTTCTCGCAAACACCTACACTCATTTCCATAATATTATACTCATATATATGTATATATCCAAGCCTGTTTTTAGTAATACATATAACACTACAAGTGATGCAATATGCCACAATATGATCATCATAGTGATTTAAGTTTGGTTTCTGAATCTTGAAATATATATATATATATATGTAAATACCTTGAGAAACGCAACAGCCACATCGCCAAATGAACAAATGGACCTGTTTACAGTCTCCCTCTATGGCTGCAGCTTGGATAGGCTTTAACTTCTGCGAATCCGACGTCGTTAAACCACTCGCTACCACAACGCCGACAACTTCATCTTCCTCAGGAGCGCCAGCCACCAGTTCGTCACCTCCCTGAACCAGCTGAATATTTCTTTCATTACTGTAATTACCAGCCAGCTTCATCCTGTTGGCGACAAGAACATTCCTGGCAGCTCTATACTCAAACAAAAACAGCAATAAGGTATACCACATAATGCACTGCAACACCACGACTTGGACCATGAGAAACTCCTTGTCATCTCCGTACATGGATTTCAACAAAGGAATCCCCATAACCAGAGTGTTGGGGAGAGAGGAGAGGGAGAAAAGTGTTATTGCCCAGTCGAGATTTCCTTTTCGGGAGAAATTAGCCCAGCAAAGCAAGGCAAACAAAATTATAAGCTTGGAGATTCCGTCGGCGGCCAGAAAAAGTAAGTTCATTCTATAAGGGTTTATTCTTGAAATGAACTCGAATGAGAGGAGTGGGACGGCTAAAATGGCGACGAACCTGTTTATGCCGGCGCATTGATCGGGAGAAAATATGTTCCACCATTTTACAGAAGCGTAAGCTAAGAACATGGTGACGTAGAGAGGAACTACGGCTGTCAACACACAGTACAGATCTTTTATGCCAATCATTTCTTCTTCCTTGTGAGTTCTTTCTTCAATTCTCCGTAATCTAATTTTTGGGTGTGTATAATATATATATATATATATATATATATATATATATCAAGCATAATCAGCCATTAATGGTGGAGTCGATTTCGTTCTCCATTATAGTATGCAGACAAAGATTATTCAACCATCTTATATATATATATGCCAAATGGGTGGATCAAAGACCATAAAATTTCTACTCTAATCTTCTTAAAAAGTATAAATTTATACATTTAAAATAACTATATATCACTTCAATACCAATATCAGTATAATTTAAACTTTAAATAACAAAATCAAATTTCTAATTGTGATCTAAAAGCAGCTAATAATTTTATCTCAGCAGACAGACCGACAGACAGAAGGGGACGTGGATTATTTTCGGCCGCATGGGGTAGGAGCAAAAGCGTTTAATGCTTAGAATTGAAGAATGTACGAATAATTTCCATAAATTTTATATTTGAAAGACAAAGGCTTTGTTTGTCAGAGTAAGATGGTAAAAATAAAATCTGAACTTTCAGGGGGTGACGAAAAGAGCTTCACGTGTATAGTGTATATAATATATATATATATATATATATGTACATGATGTGTGGAGAAGAAACGTTTCTGCCAACTAAATTACGTCATGGTACCAATCCTCGAACAGGGTAACTAAGTTAAGGTGCTTTCAACCAATCACAACTTGGTTTAAGTTGGCATTTTTTGCGGGCTATCTAAAAATTATTTGTATTATGTACTTATTATATATTATTATCATTTTTTTTTTAAAAGTTATCTTTTATTAATTAAATCATACATATACATAAATTATAACATAATATAATAAAAAAGATGTTGAAAATAATAATCTATAAATTTTAATATGTCTCAACTCTTTATTTTATTAAGGAGTTAAGTTAATATATATCATAAATATAATAATTAATTTTTTGAGTTTTCTTTTTTTTTGGACAGTTTATATATTAGATTTAAATGTATATTTTTTAATTTTTTTAATTAAATTCATGTATTAGTATTAAATATATATTTTTTAAGCCTTACACTTAATTATAGATTATAGATTAAACTTGATTATGATTAATGTATTTATAATTATAGTCGTTATATTAGTATCTATATACACGTATAATAAAAAGTTTATAAAAAAAAATATTACAAATTTAAAAATTAAATATTTCTATTAGTTTTATTTATTTATTTATTTATTCTGTTTCTTATAAATTATTACATAGAGGTAATCTATTTTTAAAAAAAATTTCTCAATAAAGGAGGCATAGAATAGTGTTTAATTAAATTTACTTCTATGTAGCTACTAAATGCTAATATTTTTGTTCTTAAACTTATTTTGTTTTATCTTCCATTTCAATTTCACTTGATAATTGAGTAGATTGATAGAGAAGTGTGTGTGTAGAGAGAGACACAAGCATTTGATATTGGTGTAGTTGGGCAAGAAGATGGTGGAAACAGCGATATGAATGCATGATATGTTGTGTGTTTTGAGGCAAAGAACCGACCTCAGGTACGATGTGATTACGACGGGGACGCATGCATGAAAAAAAATTAAAATCATAAAAAGGTTTAAATTATAATATATATATATATATATATACACAAATATAAATAATTGATGGAGGGGAACTCCCTCCCTCCAATCTCATGCATGCATGGTTGGTGTGGAGCAGACGCATGTGAATAGCATATAACCAAAGGGGCCATCTCAGACATGGCCCTCCTCCACCCTCATCTTGTCTTTCTTTCACAATTCATCTCTGTTTCTTTGTAAAATGAGTCATCAACTTCATTGAAAGCTATTATAAAATATACAGAAATGTATATCATCATTCAAATTCACAATTTTTTTTAGAAAAAAAATATATATTAAATATTTAATTAAGAAATAGTTGATTTCATAATAATTTAGAATCGGATAATTATCTTGTTATGTGGTAAAAATCGATAGCATTTTTAACAAACTATACAAGTATAGTAATGGTCAAAGTATGCTATTTTATCATGGGACAATCAATTATATAATATATATATATACAAGCTTCATAGATGAACAGAACGAATTTAGTGATTTGTAAAAACTAGAACCAACTATTAAATTAGCATTTGAAATTTAATATTTTTTTTATAATTTGATTCCTAATTCATTTGTTTTAAACATTTAGTTTTTTTTTTTATTTTCTAAAAGAAAAATTAAAATAGTTTAAGGATATTTAAATGTTTCAAAACTTCATTCAATAATAATATTTTAATTTAATAATTTTAATAATTAATTAAATTAATAGCAATAAATCAAATAATTTTTTGAACTATTTCTTAAAGTACTTAAAAGTGATAAAACTACATTAGTTTTTTTCTGTTAAGAATAAATTGTAACGAAAAGAATATTAAAAATTAAATTATAAGAAATATCATATGTTAATTTATTTTTTTTTTTTTTTAAAACATTATATGTTTATAACTATTAATTTGAAAAAGAAATGGAAGCCCACCCTTTTAAAATTTTCATTGGGTTTCATCGAATTGTAGGTTTAATCAAGGCCCAGCCCCAGACCCAGGGCGAGACCCAGCCCCAGGCCCAGGCCCAGGCCCATTTCTGACACCCCTCTCTCCATCATCTGTCATCGATCACCGACATTATTACCATTTACCCTAAAAAAAAAAAAAAAAAAAAAAGGTTAAAAAAAATATTTTCTTCTCCCGATTTTCCCTACTCGCCGGATGCCTATTTAACCTTCGCCTTAATCGTCTATTTCACTCTGTACTCTGTCAGCATAACTCACTTGAACCTTCATTTGAACCGGGGAACAGACTCATCCGTTTCACTTCCCTATTCTCTGTCTAGCCTGGTGAAATTAATCGGTACTTCTACTTCTCAAAACCAATATACTGAAAATCTGGGTGTCCCATAGTTCAATTGTGGTTGATAATAGCCGAATTCGGTTTGTGCTTCCTCTAGAAATATCTGGGTTTTAGGAGTTGATGTTTGGTTGTTTTTGGATAAAAGTTTTTTCATGATTTTTACGCCTAAGTTCGTCGGTTTGTTTGGCGATTCAGCTTAGGTACTGGGTTTTCCATTTATTGCGTTTCCAGTTTCCTATTGCCCATTTGTTGTATTTACTTGGCTATGATTCGTTGATTATTGAATCTGTGGGTGGATGTCTTGAGTTCGTTTAGAAAATATTGATTTGCAATCATCTTAGTGATTAGTTCTTTATATTAATATGCCTGCTTGTGGTGTTGATCTCAGTGTTAATAATTTTCTGCAGCTTTGTTTTTAATGAAAATAATGATAATATATTGATTCTCGTTAAATGGAATGGTTTCAGTGTTTCACTGTTGGTTTATGGCTGGTTGATTCAGACATTTGATAGCAAAGGACTTCATGCATCCCTGTGGCTTAGTTTCTGCTTTTATGGGTGGATGGTGGATGATTTTCGAGAAAATGGGTTTACCATGTGTTTGTATATGGAGTCTGTATATAGAATTGGCAGAATGTATGACTAATGATGCTCGCTGACTTGTTTATTATGTTGATGTTGCATGGATCTTTTTTTTCCATATCGGTAGTACAAAAGAGATTAGGGTTATAAACCAGTTAAATGTCTAAATTCTAGTTCCTATATATAGTGTTCTGCCAGCTGGTTGGGGTTCCTTGCCATAAATATATGCCATATTCGGTTATATGTCGTTGCTTGAATTAGTAGGTATTCACTTCTGCAATTAACCAACTGTTTTGCTGCCAAAGTGGGTTTTGGACCCTTTCCCGATAAACAAATCCATGATTTTCTTGTTCGTTTTGATCATATTGTCTTGGTTGGTTCCTTTGCGAGATCGTACATATACTTGGTGTATGTTGGCATTGAGTTTTGAATTTGATGATATTGATATCCTTTTACTCATATTGGCTGGTAACTCTTCTATGGTCCTTCCCATCTTGCTTGAATGCTAATTCAAATTATTCAAGCAAACAGTGTCCATTTTCTGTTCATCTGCAGATCAGGCCCATTGTCTTGTATAGTTAGTGCTCTGCCCCCAATTTGATTGTTTGTCAATTTTTACATATGGTCATTTGTTGGGAGAAAGATTGACGTGTATTTACAGTGACAACATACCTTAACTTTAGTTAGTGGCATTTCCATTTTCTCTTGTAATTAAATTGTAACTAAAGTGTGATTACTACAGGAGAGATGGCTGGACGAGGAAAGACTCCACTAGCTTATCAGGGAAGATATATCCAAGCTCCAGGGATTCTGCAGCATGGTCCTCCTGCTGGTCACCGGCCATTGGAGGCACTCCCCCATCCTGAGCTATTGGAAAACAAGATTACTGCACAGGCAGCAGAAATTGAACAACTTGCTGGGGACAATCATAGACTGGCAGCTACTCATGTTGTATTGAGGCAGGAGCTTGCTGCTGCACAGCAAGAAATACAAAGGCTCAGAGCTCACGTGGGAAGTATCCAGACAGAGGGTGATATTCAGATTAGGGTTCTAATTGATAAAATTAATAAAGTGGAAGCAGATATTATGGCTGGTGAGAATATAAAAAATGACCTCAGACAGGCACATATTGAAGCGCGAGACTTGGTTAAAGCTAGACAAGAGCTTACTTCCCAAATTCAACAGGCTTCTCAGGAATTAGAGAAGGCCAAGGCTGATATTCAGAATCTCCCGGTGTTGCTTGCTGAACTTGAGAACCTGAGGAAAGAGTACCAGAGACTGCGGTGAGTCCAGTAAAATTCTTACAAGTACCTCTTATCTCTTTCTTTTTAGACGATAATATAAAAAAACATAATTGAATCCTTTCTTATCAATTTAAAATTTTTGGATAACTGGTCACCCAATACAATTATTTCACGTTATTTAGTTCTGGTTCTGTTTTGTATGCACTATTTGACGTATGAATTTATGTCCTTTTGGATTTTCTTCTAAAATGACAATAATGAAGACAACAAGATGGTTTAAGCCAACAAAGTTTCCTCATGACCTCTCTTTTTATTTATGGGAAATCAAATTTTAGGACGTCATAATCCTGGGATTTTTTGTTTATGGTAGTTATTTCTTTCATATTTTCATTTCTTAACGGAGGGATATAGTCCCTTTTTAATCTATTTTTGCATTCATTTGAACATGCTCTCCTTTCTATATTAGAGGCTTATCACATTTTCTAGTTGATTAGCTGTATCTTGTAGTTAGCTTATTCCTGTGGTTTTATCGGAAGGTTTAAACTTGGCTTCCTTGCCAGGATGTGGCAATCACGAAATAATATATAATAAGTATTGGAAAGAAACGAGGGGGAACCAGTATCTTCTTTGTAATCATAAGGACACTGGTATAATGAAGGGCATGTTTGTACGAAAACAAGAAGTTCAAACATTTTCCAGCTAAATCTCCTCATGAACCAGAAGCAATTACCAATATAGTTTACTAGAATGATTTTTTTTCCGGAAATGGTGTCATATTTGCATGCAACATTAACAAAATAGTTTACATGACAAGAATTTTATTTTATTCTAAATTCCAATTTAATTATCATGGCACATAAAAGTCCTTAGTGGAGCCTAATTATTGTTTTTCCACCTATTATTTGGTAAATATATAGTGCAATATTTGAGTATGAAAAAGGGGCAAACATAGAGCAAGTGGAGCAAATGAAAGCCATGGAAAGGAATCTATTTGGGATGGTGAGAGAAGTGGAAAGGCTGCGAACTGATGTCTTGAATGCTGATAACAGAGCACGCGGTAAAAATCTTGTCTGTACATTTTCTTATCTGTTTAAAATCTCCTTGAAATCTTTAATTTTTTCTTTTTTTGGCTGATGCTTGTGATGCTGCAATATTATAGCACCAAATACATATGGGGTTGGCTACGAATCTAATCCTCCCTATCCGTCCCCATTCTACCCACCAGTTGAACGGAAAGGTGGTGCCTATGTTGATGGAAGATCTCTCATGCCCACCGGTATCAGGCCAACAGGTGAGGGGATGACCCAACATGTCAGCAGCAATATTGGAGCTGCTGCTTCCATGGTCGATGGTGCAAGGATTCCTGGTGGTAGTGGTAGTGCTGCAGTTCGGGGGCTTACTGGGAACACTGTACGGGGAGAACCACATGATCCATCACTTGCTTGGAGACGAGAGTAGAAAAGCTAAGAAGTATAATATAACTGTATGTACCTGTTTTGATCAGTAAGCTCTCAAGATTTAAACCCAGCTTAGTTGTTATTGGTTATGGGGGGTTATGACCCATGTTACAGCAAATATTTATACCAGTCAGCAGGCAAAGAGCTGAGAAGATTATTTTTTAGATTCTGTATTTATCTTTGTAGGTTTAGCAACATTGTCAGATTTAAATAAATGGTTCTTCTTCTTGCGATATTTCCCTGTTTTTTTTTTTGCTTCAATGAAGTCCAAACCATTCCAGTCTTGCTTTTGTTTTGAAAAGAGTTGTTTTTAATCAATTAGAATCATTGGTTTACATCTTTTGTTGCCTTTTCTTTCTTAACTTGATTCTTAATCCCAAATTCATGAACTTACGGTGTATATTTTCTCTCTCCTCTTGTTGTACTTGAAATAATTTGCACATTTCCTTTATTAAATGTTCTTTACTGAGTCTATTTGTGTCTTTTCAAATATTTAGTTTCTTAAAAGAGAAACCTAGAAGTTCCATATTTCTTGAATTTCCATGTTTGTGTTGTTTTTAAAGCACTTTTCTTTGTTTTGTGTAGTCAGGATGAGTAAATTACTAAGTGATTTATAAATAAGTTTGTATATATGATTGGATTTACTTTGGGATTCTTGTTCCTTCTTTTTGGAAAAATATTAAGATTTGAGAATTGAATTTTATTAAATCAAAACTAAATTTTATAATTCCCAGTTTAGATTAACATCTAGTAAAACTTATATAAAGATGCTCTCAATCATCATTCCATAATGATGAACTACATATCTAACATAAAAGCAAAATTTATTTATAAACAAATTACATCCTCCCTAGTAAAAATTTATGAAGCAGAATAGCGCTCCCACATAGCGGCAAAAAACAAGAGCAAATGAGAAAGAATGAGGAATAAAGTAATCAAAGCGAGGAATAAACCAAGTTTCCACCATTTACTTTCTAATGTAGTCAAAAACCCCTTTCTGCAAGCTTGACAATCATAGCATAACATCTTCCTCTCGTTCTTCCACAAATCACAGTCCTTATCTCCACCTTCTACCCTTATTTCTTTTTGCTTCTCCCAAACTGTTCCATTCACTTTCTCCATTCCACAGCTTGCTGGAGGTCTGCAACACCCGGACTTTCAAAACAAACAAACCCATGTTAAATATATACACGAACACACACATGTTCTAGGGGAAATATGAATACAAAAGAATAGATATATATATATATATATAGAGTACCTGGACTGATGGAAATGTCCGGATGACCTGAACTCCTCTCAACATGGCATCATCACAAACTCCCCTTTCAAATATGCAAGCTTTAATGCGGTTCCAATTATTGTCGTCTTCAACTTTCAACTCAAGCCACCTCGGCGACGCCGGTATGCTTTTACTTTCCATCTGGTAAGCTCCCATCAGTCCCAGACCCATCGTCATCATCACCATTAACGGCACCATCACCACTATCAGACCCGGCATCGGAAACTTACCTCTCAACAACAACCCTCCATTGCTGATCACGAAAGCCAATATCAACCCCACGCATACTCCGATTTGGTATCTAGGCAATCTGAGAATGTCCTCGCAGTCGTAGTTTTTCATGTAAAATAGCCATATGACGGATGCGAGGATCGGGAGAGAGAGAACGAAAGAGAGCATTGTTAGTAAACCTGAAATTTTCTTGGCCGGCGGAATGAGTCTTTCCGGTAACATGGTAGTGGTGTTTGGATCTTTTTTTGTGTTTGTTTATGAGGATTTTTTGATCGGTTTTTCTTAGTGCAGTAGAATCGGGACGATGATCTAGTATTACAGGTTTAGCATTCTCTGACATGTCGGTGAAGAGAGGAGCAGCTGATTGAAGAAACCATATTAGAAACTACGTGCATGTGCGTGTGTATATATATATTAAAGCCTGAAAGATGTTTATCAGTACCTACATATGTATTGGATCTTATATGGCTTTTTCATGTATATATATATATATATATATACATGCTGAATACCATACCTTTGTTGAGAGTTTACAAAGTCAATATTGGTTAATTTGAGAATTTTAAGGGATATATGGAGAAAAAGTTAGAGAGATATTAGCAACTGTTTCCTGGAGATTTTGATGCTCGTTATTCACTCCACATTTTCAACTAATTCACGCTGCTTTTTACTCCACAGTTTGACTTCGCGCGGTAAATTCTTGTTCTCATTTGTTCCGGATGTGTTTTAGCCGTTTACTACATTTTTCTTGAATTCACATTTTCATTAATAAGTTACTAAAAATTTGAATTAATTTTGCGCAATAACATTATTATGATACAAAATTACATAATTTTTAACAAAATTTTTTAAAAACTACTACAAAATCATCGTCTATTTTTCCTAAATGCCAAACGAAGTCATAATTATAAAGCATGTGAAGGAGAGACCCACTTGGGAGCTACGAAAGCAGCAATCGCGGAGTACAAGCAAGCCAAGACAGCTCGGCTGAGTTGACCATAATCTAGAGAGAAAAAAAAACAGCAGCAGCACAATACAAGAAGCCGAAGCAATGCTCAAAACACCAAGGATTTAACAAGAGATCATCCAAATACAATTCAAAACGGGCACAAGCAGCTCGATAAGACAAACCCGCAATCCAAATCCTGGACTTCTGCAGCAAATGGGATTCTGAAGAGACCAATAATCCTAACACCAGCAATAACAGAACTCATCCACTCTCTTGCAAACAATCAAAACTGATAAAAGCTCCATTGATAACCAAAGATAAGTTGGATCAGCTCTAAATGGAAGCTCAGCAAGGAACACCAAGATACTTGAGCAGGCACACAAACTAATGCAAACACAAAACTCAAGGGAACACCATTATCAACCAGCAGAATAACAGTTCTACGAGAAGTTATGGAAAAAAACCACAATGGGGTTGGTAATAATAAAACCCGCAAGAAAGAGGGACAAAATAACAGCTCAACCCCTTACTACCACACAACAAAATATTGCATTCCGCACATCTCCAGCCAAGCAAGGTAATCTGTCCTCAGCAGACTAACAAGGTCTCTATTGGATTTTGAACAACCATGTTTGTCAATTAAGAATGGTAACAAACTTGATTTTTTTTTTTTTTTTTTTTTTGAGATAAAAAGTAATAATAAACTCGAGCCTTCCCAAAACATTATTCTAAACTTGAAAAGAGAGACAAATCTTAAAAAATTTCCCCATTATGGAAAAAGTAACATAAAAGTTTTCTGTGACTCGAGAACTTCCCTCAATTACATTTGTAGCAGACATGTCTGGCTTTAGAAGGCTCAAGCATAACATATAACATCAAAATGAGTAGAAAATAAAATGTCCTACAGAGTTAAAGCTCGAATGTAATTAGGATTGGTGCTAAAAAAATGTATAGCACCGACGTTAATATATGAACTACAAAGTTTCAGTCTTTATGTCATGTAAAATTGGAAGAGAAATGCTACATGGATAAAGACCTTCAACATATATGCCAACAATCTATGCTTCCACACTTAATTCCAATTTCCCTGTTGCCTCCTCTTCCAACTCCTTGACAGCTCTTATTAGACCTTGTGTAATTCCACTGAGATGCAAACCATTCTCTTTCATCTCCTCCAACAGCTTCTCTGCTCTTCTCCAATCTAAAGCCTTTAGGCACAAGGATTGGATCAATTTATTGTATTCATCAACATTAGCTTGAACCCCAAAGTTCTTCATCTCACCTAAAAGCTTCAAAGCCTTGTCATATTCTTCAAGTTTGCAATACCCCCGAATAAGAGTGTGGTATGTTATAGGGCTAAGCTTAGAATGCTTCTTTTTTGCTTCGGAGAGCACTTCACAAGCATCCTCCATTTGGCCTGCATTTGCATAACCACTCATCACAACTGTGAAACTATACACATCTGGTTTCAACCCCCTACTCTCCATCAACTTTATCATTTCCTTTGCCTTGTTCATATCTCCAGCCTTGGAGTAGCCACTGATAATCATATTGAAAACTGCATTTCCGGGAGCTGGACCCTCTTCTATCATTTTTAGGAGAAGTGTTCTCGCCTCATCAACATTTTTCATTCTGCATAAACCACGGATAACAGAAGCAAATGGTTTGATTGCATATTTTTGTATTTCTCCTGAGAAATCACCCAACATCTCCAAAGCTAACTTCACAGTTTCATCCTTCCTACAGAGAGAACTGATCAAGAAATTAACAGAGGTCCGAGGTGGATCTTCGTTCTTCTCCTTAGCCAACAAATAAACCAAATGGGCTTCTTTTGCCTTATCGCCCTTGCACAACAAGGATATGATCCTACCCACTTTCTCACTATCAGGCATGGTCCCTGCATCGAGCATCTTCTCACAAACACTCCAAGCCGAACCAATAATGGAGCGCTTACAAAGTGCTTCGATAGTGAAATAGTAAGTTTCTGCATGTGGGGTGCACCCAAATTCCCCACATTTGTCAAAAA